AAAGCCAGAAGTGGCACTGTGGCTCAAGTGGTAGAGCGCTAGCTTTGAGCTGAAGAGCTGAGGGACAGCGCCCAGGCCCAGAGTTCAGGCCCCACGGCTGGACCCAAAAAAAGAAAAAATAAGGGACAGTGCTTAGCCATGTATTCAAGCCTCAATACCCTCCCACCCATACGCAGAAAAATAACTAGAAGTAAAAATAGGCTGAAGGCATTGTTGGAAGTGGAAGAGCACCTGCCTAGTAAGCACGAGGCCCTGAGTTTAACCCCCAGCATCACCAAGAAAATAACAATTAGGCTTTATTGGTGAGATCCAAAGAAAGAAAGACAATATGCCATCAAAACCCAGCACTGCTGGGGTTGGAGGGACATATGCCAGATAGAGTGGCACATTGTAATCCTAGCTACTTGGGAGGCAGACTTTGGAAGGATCTAGGTTCAAGGCCAGCTTAGGCAAAAAGTTTGCAAGACCCTCATTTTCACCAACAAGCTATGCATAGTGGTGCATATGTATGATCCCAGCTCCATGGCAAACATAGGTAAGAGGATCAAGGTCCAGGCTGACCCAGCCAGTGAGAATAAAATTAACTAACGTAAAGGGAACTTGGGAGCATAGCTCATATGGTAGAATGCTTGTGTAGCAGACACCAAGTTCCGCCCTCAGAGTTGCCAGAAAAACCTAGGGCAGTCGTCTTTCTGGTGGTTTCCATAGGAAGGAGAGGGTGAGGTAGGGCGAGCAGGCTCAGGATTGGCTGGTTTCTGTAATTTCTGCATGCCACAGGCACAGAAGTACTGTGTGTTGCCTGGTAGTTGGCTCTGGGGTAGGTCAGGTGGAAAGTGTCCCAGTGCCCAGTGAAGTAGACTGTGCAGTGGGTGGCCTGCATATGGAAGACCCGTTCCAGGCAGGAAGTAGTTTCCTCTCAGAATGATATAGCCTGGGAGTGTGGGGAAGCACATCCCTAGACTGGTCCATGAGTTCTCAGATGATCCAGTGTGAACAAACACAAAGTTGACAGGCTGAGTGTGGTGAGCCTGGGCAAAAGTTAACCAGAGCCAGGCCCTGGTGGCTCACGCCTGTAATCCTAGCTACTCAGGAGACTGAGATCTGAGGTTCACGATTCAAAGCCAGCCCGGGCAGGAAAGTCCGTGAAACTCTAATCTCCAATAAACCACCAGAAAACCAGAAGTGGCACTGTAGCTCAAGTGGTAGAGCACTAGCCTTGAGCTGAAGAGCTGACGGACAGCGTTCAGGCCCAAAGTTCAAGTCCCATGACCGAAAAAAAAAAAAAAAAAACCCAAAAAAACAAAAAGTTAACCAGATCCTAGCTCCAAAACAAGCTGAACATAGTAGTGCATGCCTGTAACTCAGCTAGGTAGGAGGTAGAGATAGGAAGATCATGGTTGAAGGCTGGGCAAAGTTGGTGGGAGGCTATATCTGAAAAAAAGAAAAAAGGACTTGAAGTGAGGCTCAAGCAGTAGAGCACGTGCCCATACTTGTCCACCAAAGTCCTATGGGGTTGTAGGGACCCCTGGACTCCCCTTTGCAGAGAGGAAGCACTCTAGCATCCCTAGGGCTAGGCAGGACTCTGCTGCCAGCTGACCCCAGTTACCCAGCAGTAGGGGAACAACTGGGGTTCCACAGAGGGTATTGGGCTTCTGATGTCTGGTAGGGAATAAGTCTGTGGTCATGATGACAGGCAGACAGACCAGTTGCATACCAGGAGGGCTTCCTGCATGCAGTGGCTTTGTGTGTGTGTGTCGTGATGTCAATCACACCATTGCTCACACACATATCCTTTCTTCAGGAAAATTCACCTCACCTAAAGTTAACTATTAACGTCTCCAAGTGTATAATTCGATGGCATTTAGTACAGTCATGGTGTTGAGCAACCAAACTTCTAGTTCCAAGAGATTTTCCCTCTGTCTGTCTGTCTGTCTATCTGTGTCTCTCTCTCTGTGTCTTTTCCCTTTTGGTGATTACTGAGCGATTGAACTTAGGGTCCTGTGCTTGCTAGGCAAGTACTCTACCTCTTGGCCACCACTCCAGGCCAGCTTTTTTCCTGATTAAGCACTTTTCTGCTCACAGCCTGGCCTCAAACTGTCATCTTCTGAGCTCAGCCTCCAGAGCAAGCTGGAATTACAGGCCTGAGCCACTGCACTTGACCCAAGAGATTTTCATCACCCCCAAAGAAAACCCTATTCCCATTAGCAGCCTCTCCCTACCTCTCCTCTGCAGCAGTTGCCACTTTCTGTACCCAGTGAGTTGCCTGCTCTGGGCATTTCATAGAAATGAAATCGAAATTGTGGCATATGGGATCTTCAATGTCTTCCTCCTCTCTCTGAGTGGAAACCCTTTCCAGATTGAAATTATAGCCTTTGTCAGGCCCCCACTGTGTAGATTAGCCATGTCCTGCTTGTTGTTCAGCCAGTAGGTATTCAATTGTTTCCAATGTCTATGCTTAAAAGGTACATGAACTGGAAGTCATATAGATTGTTTTACAGGATCTCACTAGCGTAGGCCAGCTTGGGACTTGAGATTTCATGTCTCTGGACTTTGCCTTGACTGGCTTTGAACTGTGATCCTCACATCTCAGCCTCTTGAGTAGCTGGAATGACATGCTGGCAGAACTCTCCTCCCTCAGTCCCCGCATCCGCACCCCCCCCATCTCTTACATCATCTCCCTCAACCACTGTTCATCTTCCATCCCCACAGCTGTGTTATCTGCTGTGACCTTTGTCACTGTTGTCACCTCCTGGGGTCACAGCCCAGGGTCACAGCCCTATCTCTGCACATTCTCTCCTCTCCCAGATCACTTATCAAAACAGGCAAATCTACAGGGCTATTTCTATGTTGGAGTAAATCCTGGTAGGGACATACTAAAGTCACGAAAGTACCTTCATGCGAAATAGTCAATAGGCCAGAATAGAAAATTTGAGTCTATTAATGCCTTTTTCATGTGCTATTGGGATGAATAAATCAACAAAATGTGGCTCATTCAACCATATATGTGCCTTGGATTGTTCAGTAATTATTCACAGCTCTCTCCCCCTCGCTCCAGATATTCCTCGACTTCAACCCAGAACTATGCCTCTAAGCAGCAGTATTTACTTTGCCTCTTTTCTTGGCATCTGTCTGAGTTGTGCAGCAAATCTCCTCTTTCTGCCCTTCATAAATAATAAACCAAGATGTGATCTATTTATATTGTGGCATACTATTCAATCATAAAAAAAAAGCTGGGCACTGGTGGTGGCTCACACCTGTAATCCCAGCTACTTAGGAAACTGATATGTGAAGATTGTGGTTCAAAGCCAGCTGTAGGGTCCATGGAGTTGGGGCTCATTTTGGCAGGGCACTAGCCTTGAGCAAAATAACTCAGAGTGTGTAGGCCCTGAGTTCAAGTCCCAGGACTAACACAAAAAAAATTATAGAGGGGCTGGGAATGTGGCTTAGAGGTATGGTTCTTGCCTGGCATGCATGAAGCCCTGGGCTCAATTCCTCGGTACCACATAAACAGAAAAAGCTGGAAGTGGTGCTGTGGCTCAAGTGGTAGAGTGCTAGCCTTGAGCAAAAGAAGCTCAGGAACAGTGCCCAGACCCTGAGTTCAAGCTCCAGGGCTGGCATACATACATACATACGCGCGCGTGCACGCGCACGCGCGCGCACACACACACACGTATGTGTGTGTGGAATTTTAATTTTTACTTTGGGTTTATTCTGGAACCATATAGTGGTGATGGCTGCACAGAGGTGTGACTTTTATCTCAATTACCAAAACCAGGGATGGAAGACATGCCCACATGTTTGTGTGCTGGTGGAACAATCTAGTGGAAAATGGATGGGATAATTTGGGGGGGGGTGACCCCTTGCTCCAGAAGCTGGGGGGAGGGGTCAGGAACTTGAGAGACAGGATTTCTGGTAAGTTGGTTCTCATGACAGAAGAATCCAGAGTGGGCTGGCCCTGTGCAGGTTGGCTGGTTGGTGTTGAGGGCGGCATCGGTGGACGTTGCCCAGACCCTCCCATTCTGCCACAAGCACTGGCAAGCAGCGCTGTGGCACCACGTTGGTGAGCACTAGGTGTGCATTTGAAAGAACAAAGTGTCACACAGCAAGCTGCCGCTAGAAGGCACCCACGCCCTACCCCCACACCCTCCAGCCCTAGGCTGCCTGCAGGACACAGTTTCCCCATCAAGGACCTTCAGTGTTTTGCTATTTTTGTTAAGCATATGCATAATTCACAAATAGATTACAGTCACACAACCCATAGTGACACTGCATTTAGTAGCAACTTAAAATGGGGAGGGGTTACATCAAGAGTACTATGGGCAGGGGGCAGCTCAGGGGTGAAGCACTTGGGGGGGGTGGAGGGGGTGGGATAATGGAGCTGAACACTTCAGATTGTCTGGTGACATCATATCCTCATGATATCTACAGCCTCATAGCAGAGAGTATGGCTCATGTGCCCGTGGTCATGCTGTTATAAAAGAGCC